TTTTCTTCCGGTTAAGTTTGTTTTGTGAGGCTCAATATCTCCTAAGATAAATTTAATTAATTAGTTGTATGAGCGCTACGCCAGGCTAGGAGTCAGGGTATGCGCAAACAATTATTTTCTGTCTGTTGCTACCATATACTGATAATGCACCGTTTCAAATGTACAGTTCTATGGTTTTTTGTAGCTCCAAAGGAGTTATACGGTAATAAGTAAAACGCTCGCCTTGTTTGTGAAAGATAGAACACGACCGAGTTTCAAGACGAACTGAAAGGTTTATGGTTCGTCCTACTCCCAAGGAACCTCGCTTTACTGCGGGGGATGGGGTGGGGGGAACTTTTTTAGATTTGAAGCCTTACTGAAAAAAGAAGTTGTGAAGGCAAAAGTTTGTTCATCCTATCTTTGAATGACGAAAATCTCATTTCTCTTGATAATAACGAAGCATTTGATAGTCATCCGATCGCGAGAGAAGAATTAATTTCTTGATATCGGCTAAAACAGTCCAGTATAAATATTGAATATATTTTTCTTAACTGACCTTTAGTTATATTTTGGCATTTGCTCTCACAGTCAAAAACCCCTCCGGCAAATTAAAGAACAGTTTTTCAAAAATGAAACAGAAGCATCGAAAGAAAAAAAGAACAAAAACCAAAGACAACCTCACCATAAACTCAAAAACAATAGCAGGAGCTTTTAATTGATTCACATCTTAATAGCAAGTCTACAAGAGGGCCATTTGCATTGTGTGTAATTACTCTTCACGTACAAACGTCACTTTGCTTGCGATGTCTTGGCAGAAGTGCGCCGAGTGTATACACGCTTGAGCAAACTATATTCAGCCAGTTTTTAAGATGTCAAAAAACGTTTAAGGGTATAAAGCAGAAATGGACATGTGCAAGAGGACATTTGATTTTCAAGACTTTTTGTGAGTAATCACTCTCAAAAATTGCATTACTTATGTACTTCTGTAAATTAAACTCTACTACTCAGCTGGTTACCTGAAGTGAAAACTGCTTCTCTGATTTCAGTAATTACCTGTAGAAGGCCACTTCTATAGTTTCATTTTCAAATTTAATTTCTAACGATCTGCGTCAAAAAAACTGCGTCCCAAATTAATCTGAAGTTAAAACGGCCTCTTGACTTATTTTAATTTACAATTCCTTTCCAACAAGATACTCGATGAGTACTTCAAAGACTCTAGTCCCTTCCATCTTACACTGACTAGAAATAGATTGCGCTCCGATCTTTATATCTGCTCTAAGAGCTTTGGCACTGCTCTAATTTTCGTGATTTACCCGAAATACATAAACCAGACATCTGTAATATTCTGCCCGGTATCGAGCATTTAACATGCAGTATATAACGGGGTTAATGCACGCATGGAAGTTATCCAGAAAATCGGAAAACCCGAAAAGAATATCGATAGCTTTTTCCTGACTTGATCCGCCACTTCCAAAGTCCATCAACAACCACGCCACTTGTCCAGGAAAAAGACAGACCGCGAACAGAATAACAACCGCGGCCAAAGTCCTGATTGCTTGGTTACGCCTCTTCAACCTTCTCGCTTCGGCTGCGCGCTGTTCCTCAGTAGAGAAACTACCGCTGCGCGTGACTACGCTGTTGTTTAACAGATACCTTGTGATTTTAGCATACACAATGGTGATGATAAAGAGTGGAATCAAATACTGAAGAAGGAAAAGTGCCAACGTATACGCTTTCCTGTGGCTAAAGCTGGGCCAGTTTTCTACGCATTGATCAGGGTAAACAAACCTTGTAACTATAACAAGCGGCAATACAATGACGAAGGAAGCGAGCCAAATAGCTGCTATCCAGGCAGAGGTTATCCGTTTGCTTAGTTTGGGCCGATAAGGCATTACAATTGAGCGGCAGCGTTGTAGTGCCATGGAAGCAATGCTGAATATACTCAGGAGGTAGGGAATTGTGAGCCAGGGCCAAATGACTCGGCAGTAAAACCCAGACTTTTCGATGACTCCAAACATCTCGTAAGTTGACAACGGTAGTATAGAGATGATGAACAGAAAGTCTGAGATCGCCAAGTTTAGCACCAGCATCTGATACGTCGACTTGTTCTGTCCCTTACGACAAATAACAATAATGGTAAGAAGGTTACCAATGAATCCCACTGCAAACACCGCAGTATTGACCGCCAGCTTTAGGTAAGTTTGGGGTTGAATATTCATCTTTTCATCCGCGTCAAAACGAATCAATCAACTTCAGAAAACTCTCTTCTTGATCTTAGCTCTTACTGTTTTCAGTCAGTACTCCGGCGACAGTACCCACCGTCAATATTGTTCTTTTTCCCGACTGGCGCTCTATTTTGTCCTCAGCGATAGAAAATACATAAACGATGAATTCGAGAACACACGATGTCGGCGTATTTATGACAAGAAATGTTAGCCGCCTGCCATTTTTCGTCATCTGTCAAGCCTCCCATCCAATAAAAATCATTTTTTTCCCGTCTTTTCCTCCAGAAAATAAACATTTAAAACGCCCGAAGGTACAGCTGATGAGCATAAGTTCAGATCCTAGCAAGTTTATCGCGTGCTAAATTTATATCGCTGGGATAAAAACAGCACTACGTCAAAAAAAAAAAAAAAAAAAAAAAAAGAAAAAAAAAATCGAGCGTCTTCAGGGAGCAAATTAGTTTGTGAAGAAAATATTAATTACTAAAAAGAAAAAGTTAATGAAAGATCGAAGTTTACCTTTATTAAGAGAATGGACAAGTAGCATTTGAATTGGATAATTAGCAAGAAATAATAAATCACACGGCATTGCTGTTAACTGATATCTGCATGAAATACGCTAATTTCTATTTGATGATTGGCCGCTGCTAACCCCGCCTATCAAACTCATAAACACAATGTCGTTCACTGAGTGGCGAAGATCCATCCGTTTACAAAATCGGTAATCTTGACAGCATTTTATTTTTTTGTTGACCTTTGTTAGCACAAATATATGTTGATCAGTCTTTTATTTAACTGTTCTTCGTTAAATTTTTTTCGTCGATGTAAAGTTGGAAGTTTGGAAAAATGAGCGGTTGATAATTACGTTTCCGCGTGTACAATTTCCCAATTCAATGTTATCATTCCCAAAAACTAAAAACTTTCAGGCTACGTACTTTCAGTTCCGGCAGTTGTCATTGATTAACCGAGAGGGAAAGATAAATTTACATATATAGTTAATCGAAATGCGAAATAAGCGGGCTATTAAAGAAAGATCTAAGCTGTGTTATACGACTTGCGAGGGCATGAGCCAAATTCAAGTTATAAGGTCGAAATATTGCTCCATTTGATCAAGGAAAACAGAACAGGAGTTTCAGACTCCTGGTCAGAAAAGGGACACAGTATGATATATCTTGGAAACATCAATTCGTTCAGAGAGAATTCAGTTGAAGGTTAAGTGGCCAAGACTTACTAAACGTATCTATGGCTCAGTTAGAATGATTTCTCCTAGAAACGGGTCCAATAACGCACGTGATCCAGGTAGTCATAAGATACCTTGCAATTAAAAGCTGAAAAGACCCGGCCACTGGAAAATAAGATTCATATCTTCACGCCGCCGTGTGATATCTTCTATCTCTAATCCGTGGTTGCATGGTTGTAAAATTTAGCTTTGAGCGGCTATTCTAATTGGCTGGAACGACTATTTGTCGTCAGCCTTGTCCCCAGGGCTTTTCGGGCTGTGAAATCCAAAATGGCGGAGACAATGTCCACCATCTCGTATTTGCAATTATTTTATCGATTGAGTGACGCGCTTTTGAAAGTTCATCGGCGTTTTCATTAATTTAGTTCAGTAAAATCGATTGATGGGACA